TATTTTCCAAAGCGATTCGGAAAAAAATATTGAAAATACGAAAGGAGACGCGAAATCTAAAAGTTGGAGGAATTTTCTCTCTCTTAGACAGCCAGTTCATGATCTGAGGAGAGTTTGATTACAACGTATTTTAAAATACAGCGCATCTATCTCCATCTTTTCAAAAGCGATTTCTGATTCCAAGCACAAAATCAATTTATTTAAAAATAAGGCTGTAAAATGCTAAATTTTAAATAAGGAGATGAAAAATTACGAAATGTTTATTAATGTCAAAAATTATTTAAAACACGTCACTATCCACAAAAGCACCTCACTTAATCATTTACAGTCCAATTCTTTGCTGCTCTTTTTCCTATGCTTTTGAGCACAACCAATTTGGTTGCTTTAATGAGGCATGCGTTTGTTGGCAAACGCATAGATGAAATGCCAATAGACGCTGACGTCGCATCGCAACGTTGAAAGCAGTCACAGCGGGTGTTTGAGAATTTCACTGCTGATTAGTTTGGCATTAACGCTCGAATTGTGGCAAAATTAAATGTTAATGATCTTTAAAAAGCCAGCAGTCGGTCAAAAGTGTGCCAAAAATACAACGAAAATAAAAGCAAGAAATAAAATAACAAAGAAACACGCGAATGTTCCCATATGCTCTTAAGTACCTACATACATATGTACATATGTACATACTTATATGATTGTGTAATTTAAAATTCTTTTGTTTCTATTTATTTGTGATTTTAGATGGTACAAGGGGAAGGTCAATTGAATAAAAATAATGACATCAAATTTAACAAAAAAATGTTAATTATGCGAGCGGAAATGGTTGGCTATTGCTGTGTATACCTTAAATTAACGGCTAAGTGGCCGTCTCGCTTGGGCCTAGATCGTTGGTTGGTTTTGATATAAGATTTTGTAGTGGTTATGATTTCATTTAAACTTAAGTCCACCTTGCTCTTACAACAGTTGAACACACGAGTAGTTTATTGGCAAGTGATAATTAAGAGTACCGGTTCATGAGACACTGTAAGCTTCTGGCCTTAAGACCGAGAACCATTCACTTAATAATTATGCATATATGCTCCCCAAGTTAACTTTCTGGATATCTGATTTGCTGCCACTTTTTGATGAATTAAATGAACTAAAATTTTCAAAGGCAATGAATCATATTCATTTTGTGTATGTGAATAAAATTTTGTGTAAATAAAATATACACACTTTACTAATTACATATGAAAATACACACCTACCTACATAAATATATTTGACTATGTACCATTTGCTGTGTATGTGTGTGCGCTGTCCAAAATTTTATGGTCACAGGTAATCCGCTTAAACAGCTGAATAAAGTTTCAGTTGAGAGCAATGCCAGCAGCTGATAATACTAATGGACGTTGGAAAGTTAAAGTAAAATATTTTAGTTTAGACATGTTTTAATCCGATTGGGGAAGGAAGAGGTTGGTGGTGTTGGTTAAATTTTTTGGCTATATGTACTGGATGTATACGAAAGTGAGTGGTTACATTAATATTCGACTTGGTTATATAAACATGCTTAATTAGTGCTTTTCTATGTAAGCAGTAACTTTAAAAATATTAAAAAAAGTTAAGCTCAGAGATCAAAGATTCAGAAAGTCGTTCAATAATAAAAAAATCGGGGATTCTACTCGGACATCTACTCATCTAACAGAAATTAAAAAAAGTAAACGTATTTAAATAAAAAACGGAAGTTTGTATACGCACACCAAGTTTTGCCGTGCATAAGCTTCTCATCGGAAAAATTTTAAGACCTTATTGGATTAATTGGTTAATTTATAAAGTTCAGATGAAAAGTTGTTGAGCTCTCGCACTCAGTGAACACCAAAATTGTTTTATGATAAATATATTATAAAAGTCTTTTCGTAATAATTATGACTTGTTCAGGAGCATTTCTGGATTAGTTGGGGACCAGATCGGGGCTAGTTCGGGACAAAATTTTTTCGCACTCATAATTATTATCGAAAGACTTTTATAATATTAGTCACAAAATAAAAGTCTTTAAGGACTTAAAAATATTTATCTCAATGATAATTATTATAAAAACTTCTTTTATATAAGTCTTAAAATAATAGTTATCGATGGCTTAAAAAAACATTGTCTCACACATAATTATTATGAAAAGACTTTTATAATTCTTCCGAAAATTTTTATGACTTTTTTAAAACTCCACCATGAAATAAACAGCGTAAAAATACAATCGCCGTTCGAAATCGATGTAGAACTGTAGATCTATCCCCTTTGTGGGACAACATCAATGCGCACGCCATGAATCGGAGGAAAAGCTCGGCCAAACACTAATATATGTATAAAAATTACATATGTATATTCAACCCTTCTTGGAGTGAGCTGCTCACAGCGTCTGATGTACCGATGTCTATTCTAAATCTATCGGCTGGATAACTGCCCTGAAGCTCTTTTAATTTAAAACATAAGGCCAGAGGAGGAGGATAGCTCACTTACCTGGGCTGTAATTCTTGTTGTTCTCTTTGCCACTGATCGCTTGCTTACGGTTGCATTGATGACTCTTTAGCATTGATTCGATCTATGCCACCTTCAACTGCTGGATTCTGTATGCCGCCTGCGCACTACTCGTTGCTTCTATATCTGCATTGTTAGAAAGAAGTTAATATGAACTTGAGGTCTTAAACTGAATTTCGTGTTTGAATGAAAGTACCTACATATATATTGCATATATACATTCAAAATATTTTTGGAAGTGGAATCCAACCAATCTTTCCATACATATTCCAACAATCTGTAGAGCAAAAATCCGGTATGAAAATACAAAATTTTCAGATCAATTACGAGTAGAGTAAATTTCTGAAAGACCTCAAGCGCGAAATGTAGCTAACTTATTGACAATAAGCACAGCTGTTAAAATACGCAGCATATACAATATGCACGTAAATATAGTACATGAGGCCAGAATAAATATGTACTTTTGTTTAACTTTGGCTTGCACTTGTGCGCCTTTCTTGGTGCTTCATAGCAAGACTTGCTTTACCTGTAACCTTAGCCGCTTACCTCCTTAATAGCTAATTTGTTTAGTTTATGGTACGAATACTTACTAACACACACACACATACACACGAAGACCAAAACAATTGTCTGATTGCTGCGCAGCTAGCACGCACATAAGTAATA